AAAATGAAATAAAAAGAGATGTATCGAGAAATGGATATGCGGGAAACAAATAAAAGCATAAAACTTCATTAAGCATCAACAACTGTCGACTGTAAAAAGTTTGCCTAGAACTGTAGACACTTTTCTTGTAACACGCTACAGGGGTGACAAAATATGAGCACATGCCGCTAACAACTGACCACCAGCAACTTACAAAAATTATTAACTAATTTGCAAAAGACAATATTTTTCGCAGCAGTTATAAGCAAAAAAAGTTCCCAAATACTCTATACTTTGAACTAAGGTTACCAGATACTTCGATAATTTTTCCTCTCTATAAAATATAGATCCCAGTTTAAAAGTCATTTGATTTAAAAGTCTTAATGGTACCCAGTGAAGTTGCAAACCTCAGAAAGTTTTGAGCCAAAAAACATCAAAATGTCAAACTCCAACATAGGACTGCAACAGCATGTGTTACATCAAATAAACATTGAAAGAAGAGTCGTCAATAAAGCAGAACACCTGAACAAAGTCCAGATTCTACACGTCCAACTTAATCATGAATGTCAAACCTCACGAAGAATCAGATTCTTCGTTCAGCAAACAAATGCTACCAATAATCACGCAACGCAATCAACCAGATGCATACACTTCTAAAAAATGCACCTGAGAGGACCGATAATAGCCAGGTAAACCATTGTCAGAAAAAACTTAGTTTTCAACTCCCAACACCTAACTGCAAAAAAATGCTTCATTCTCTCAAAAACAGAATTACTCAATTGAAAATAAAATACATACCATCTCCCTAAATTCCTCAACCCTCCAATTCCTTCGGAAAAAACCGCTTAATTTTTTTCTATGCTGAGACGAAGCTGCCTTTTAACAAATGACATCTCAGAAGTTGTTAGAGACAAATCCCTTTCGGCACGGTAAGACCTTTCCTACCCGGCAACCATAATTAGAAATACTGCAGCATAATGCCATTCACAATATGTGTACTAATACTCAACGAGCTTCTTCTCCAATCAAATGAATGCAACGCAAGTTTTTATTGCGTGTACATACGGTTTTTCTACCTGCAATCGTAAATTATGAGAGACCTAAAAAACACCATCAAATTTCTGCCAATTACTTCCTTAATAACTTCTGCTACCAGATGAAATAACCAGTTTGTCGTGGGTAAGCAAATTAGAAAGCGACTGGGAAAAAACTCATGGTCCTGAGATATTGGCCAAGTGCTCTATCTATTAGAAGATAAAATACACGTTAGAGCTCCTATCCTCCGCACAATTACTTTGAACCAAATCTTACTGTACTCTCAACAGCTTTCGAGCAACTCGTCTGATTCAAAAATGTGACTTTAATTTCCTCAGACGAAAAGAAAATAACAAGAAAAGAAACGCTCGAAAAATCGCTGACTAAACAGCGGTTCTGAATAACGCTTCAAACAATTTTATAAAAATGATGCCGGAAAAAGCTAAGAGACCATGAAGAAAAAAAGCTAGAAAAATCAGAATTTAAGCCAGCGGCCATCTTCTCCACCAGTCAGAAATTCTTCAAAAGTAGAGTTTGACTTGCAAAAAGACAATTTCCAGCCATTCTCTGAGTAGCTTTTTCTCTAACAATCACTAAAACATAAATCCTTACTAAAAGATCAGCCTAGAAATCGACTTCTAAGAAATCCCCTTCTAGAAAAAAAGATATCTAAAGTGAGCCTTACACTGTTAAATAGCACACTTTCTCCCTAACAATTTCCAAGCATTTTTGGCCCCTAATGAAGTGTGACTGATACTACGCTTTAAGAAGTCTTTTGAACCTATCTAGAAAATGATAAATTAAATATAGCAAAAGCTCCTTTATTGGCAAGCAGGCAGTTCCATTCACATCAGCAATAACCTTTTGTCTGTTTCAACTTGCCCCTCACGGTTTTCTCTATTCAAACTCGATTAACTCAAAATTTATGAGGTGGTAAACTGAAATCTCCTTCAATGATCCTTGTGCTTCACTGACACTTTACTTTTCTGCAAACTGACAGAAAGAAATGGTGTCAGGACGGTCAATACAGCACCCAGCAAACTCGATTTCTTTTTAAGCTGCAGCTACCGTATTTACCTGACCTTTTGCGATGAGTTAGAAACTCCTATTCACTATGACACGACGTACTACGAGTTTTTAACTTTTTATAATCTGGCCTATAACTTTACTAAAGTTACGGAGCACCAAAATAATAGCTGTTTACTTTTCATAAGCCCTAATTATAAATTGTGCGCCTAAACAGTAATAAAATCCTTCAAAAAAATGACTTAAAACTTCTTAAACATGTGGTACGAGTTATAGTGCATCTTAAACCTACAACTGCCTTTAATTCAAAAATTTGTTCAGAGATAATACATTATCAAAACCCCACCTAAAAATGGAATAACCAAAAAAGGCAAAGTTCCTGACAATAAAAAAACCTGTTGATTGCAGTTTCCACCAAATAACTGCAGTGAAGGGAATTTAAATCACACACTTCTACCGATGACAGCTTTCTGAACATAGTTCCTGACTAGTGTACCTTGCAATGCTTAGTGCTTTACACAGCTCAAAAATATTTTGCGCAATTCACGATACTTGTCCAGATTAGGGAAGTGCATACGTGGCGCATTGTTTAAATAGACTAGGGTAAAGATAATCGACTGTTTCAATTATGATTTAGAAGAATAAAAAAGCTCAACAATTTTCACCCATCCATTAGGAACCAGATACGAAATAAACAAAAAGAAAATATTTCAGGAGTAGCAAGAAGCCTGCCATTTACCCTCTGCTACGTAAAAACTGAACCTACCCACCCACAGCAAGAACTTCAAGAGTGTCGCAGTTTTCCTCATCCTAAATCGAGAAAAAAAAAGAAACTGGAATAGAAAATTTGGTTGAAAGATCCGTATGCCACAATACTAGACGCTGACGTTATCTTTAATTTTAGCTTCCTGTAAAGCTCAATTAAAGAGCCTAATACGGTCAAACGACGCTTAATACACTTCCTTCCAATAATTTCAATCTTTTTTAAACGGAAGAGATTTCCATATGCTTTTAAAATGTGCGTTTCATACAGTGAATAAAGATGAAAACTGCCAAGCTTCCGTATTCCCGAACCGATTTTTCAGTAACTAATCAAAAAATATGTAGTCCTGTCACCCTGCTTGCACCAGTACGCATTGCGTATGCGTCTCCAATCTGAACAGTTATCAGTCCTTAAACTCACTTTTGAAATCAAGACGCCATAAAACCCTGAAAAGATTGAAAATAATTAAAGCTGAGACACACCTGCGCGGCAATTTCTCGATTACCTTCCCTCAGCTCGCTTATATACCGACGACGCCTCTCAAGGTCTTTTTCCATCAGGCGCCTAACTGCTTTATTAGCAAAATGTTTCCCATAACCCTTACGATTTGCTTTTCGGATAATTCGGGCTAAAATAACTTCAACTAATTCCCTTCGCAAGAACTACCACAAGTACCCAACCTTCAAACAATGTGAAAAAAATTTACCTGCCAAGCGCTGCATTGTGAACACAGCAGCCTTCGTGTCCGTTAAAGATATTTTCTCTGAACAGTTTGATTCTAGCCGTTTGAGCGACCGGCGACGACTCCTCATAACTCTGTGGGCCGGTAAGCTGTGATCAGAACTTGACTGAGAACTCAGTGAGTCAGAATCAGAAGATACTGACGAAGATTGGCTACTAATAGGAGATTCATTAATCGCCCCCAGTTCCAAATCTGGCACCACCTGTTCGTCGTCGAATACCAACGACATAGCAATAACTTTTAGCTTAAAAATTTTTTATGAATACAAACTTCCATCACCTCATTTTCTCTTGGCAGCCTATTCCTAGAGCAACCAGGAAGACCTCGAAACATTTGTTCTACCTCTTAAAATACAAGTCTAGGAGCAACAAATCGACAGACAATAAAAAGGAAGTAATTCTACGACAAAAGTTTGGAATCTGCAGACTTTTCATTAAAAATCCCATTTGAACGCTCAGTTAAGAAAAATTGTTTAAAATACCAAGCCCCATATGTTATCTTTAAGCTTCTGCTGCAAAAACAAACAAACAAACAAAAAAAAAAAAAAAAACGAACGTTTTCCACACAATTCATTAACAGTGAAAACTGAAAGACAAATTACACTGTTCTATTAAACAAGAATGGAAATAAACGCCTTTCCTGTTTTCAAAGAAATAATCAATTATTTAGGAAAATTTCACCACAGACGCACAGGAAACTGCGAAACAAGTCAAATGGCACTAAATGCAGACAATAACTTATTGAAATCAATGAACGTAAAACAGACAGTAGCCTTCAGCAAGTCAAAATTTGTCACGAAATCAACGGTCAAACAAAGGAATTCCAGCACAACAAAAGTTATCTGAGAGCAAAAATACTATTTATATTTTTTTGCCATTCTTCTTACTTTAATTAATTCTTCCTCAACGTGGGCATTAGCTGTATAAACGAGTTCTCTGCTTCCAACATCAATCAGTTCCAGTACTTGCCTTAACAAAGTGAGACAAAAAGATATTAATAATTAATCACAAGACACAGTCGGTGCGTCCTTCACAAAAGTATCGAATCTACCAGTCTGCAGGCAAAACAAAGCGGACATTCTTTCGAATCATTCGGTGTCCGTTGTTACTCAGTGTACTCTAAGTTAAAGTACATGCGCTTTTTTACTTTATATGATATACGTGGTATAGACCGCTTTTCTCGGCTGACAGCTCCACTGGCCAAAGACTTTAAGCGATAAGTGGAGCTAATTCGTGAACCGTCTTCACGGATATAATCTCTCTTTGCTGCCACGGCACTGAAGTTCTGAACAATGTTGAAAATTGAAAAAATTCAGGATGATGTACCACAATTTTTGATTAGGGAGCAAGACGTGGCTATTCTTCAAAGTCTATGTAGTCTCTGGCTTATTCCCGCGTAAATCTGCATCAAAATACAAATGAAGCCTCATAAAGTGCTGAGCACACATCATATTGAAATCCTGTCCATTTATTTTCGTTGCTGTTCTACCAGGTGCTATTTGTATGCCAGTTAATTTGATTAAATGAACTACAGGTAACACTTGACTTTGACTAACTGTAACTCATCAGTGCAGCTCAGCACCTTCATGGTCCTCAAGATTTTCGTCCACCTTCATTCTTCCTTGTTCCCACCATTTTCGCAAGAACGTTCTTTCACCTGTTACTCTCTGGAATAATTACAACCAGAGTACCGTCATTTTATCCTCCTGATTTAATCACTGCTCATACAGCCCAACAACTGTAAAGCTCCAACGGCAACCAAAAAACTATAGACGAAACTCTGAAACCGGGCTCAAGCGTTGGTTGACGGGCGGAGTCACAGCACCTACATACCCGCCCAAAAGCCATGCGTTGCGAATTCTTCCTTTACAGTTTAACATTTTCAAATGAGCGGTTACAGGTAGTGAAAAATCCGCAAAAAGTTGATTCACAGGTCGCTGTTAGCACCGCATGAAAGAAAAAAAGAACCCGGGACGGAAAATGCAGCGAAGAACACCTTAATGAGTGGAGCAATCGGTATCGCTTCAAATGACGACGGCTGTCACGCAACGTTTACTAGCACTTTTTCTTGGCGACTTCAGGACTTTCGAAAATACCCCTCTCGAAACTCACTCAGTGCAAACCCTCAAAGCTGATTGTTTGTGTCTTTCTAAACGTCGAATGTTCAGTTAAATTTGTTAGCGCTAAAATTTGCCAATCACCATGCTAACTTTCACACGATTAATAAGTACTGGACCAAACAAACGAATGTATTTGAATCAATGGTGCGACTAACAGTAAAAAGGTATAACTTTCGGCAACCAGCAACGCTGTAAAGCAAACATCTCTGTTCCGCAAAACGTATTCGTTCGAAGTTTACTAAAATCTAATTACTCCAACTCATTCCACTGCTCTTCCAAGCTATACTTTTTTGGCTTGATGCAAGACGATTGGGTGAACAGTCATTAACCGAGTCTAATAAAACAAAAAAAAGCCAGTGTTGCCAGTGTCAATACGAAGGTTGCAGAAAAATTTCGTATTTTCGAATATTTTAAAAATGCTACGATGTGAACAGCACGCTGGCAAATGGCGTATATAAAATCTGAAATTTTAAACACGAATGAGATATTTATTGAAAGATTACATGTGCGTATGAAACCGAAGACTCAAAAAGCTGATGTCAAAGAATATTTCCGAAAAGCTTAACTGGAAGAAAAAAAGTGATGAAATCATGAAAGATACAAGAAATGCACTGCGTTTCTGACGAACTTTAACTTCACTGAAGTAAAAGTCCACCAATTTGTCAGAAGCCATTTCTCAAAACTATTATTACCCACTTCTAATCGAAGTTAGGTTCGTTGATCTGGAAGATTAAATGGGACCAGCAATGTACAAATAAAATGGACAGGCAGTATGCAATAACAATACGGAAGAAATTCCTGAAGATTCTAAGCAACAAGATACATCATCTACTGTTCTGATAAGCTGAGCGTTGTCCAAAGCGATACCAGTGTTCAAAAAAGAAGGACGGATATGATTCCTCCGAGGAAAAAAAAGAAACTCGTTAGCAGCAGCAGGAGCATGAGCAGCAACAACAGCGAAGTAGGAGGTGAAAAATATAGATTCGAATAGAACAATAAAAAAGTACCCCTCTGCTTCGACGGACAACCATCAAAACGTATTTCGAATCTTGCGTCCTATCATTTTTTTCTTTTTTTCTTTCTTTTTTTTTTTTTTTTTTTTTTTTTTT